ACTCTGTCGACAGAATCTTCTTATGAAGTCGATCCATGAGCTCTTTTCCAGCCACTGTCGGAATGCAGTCCTGAATCCTTAATGTGATGCGGAAGCCAGTAGATCTCTTGTCTAGGTCCACTTCTATTGGGAATTCGGATCTAATAGGGAGTAGTGTATTCAAGTCATCGCTTTCGTTTACGTTATACTCCAAATCGTAACGGCAATTGAAATAAACTTGGAAAATTGGTTGTGGAGTTTCGTTCAACTTCTGGAATTGAGCCGCTAACTCAGTAAATGGAATATTTTGTTCTAGAACATCCTTTATGTGTTTCTCCACCATTCTGAAAAGATTTTCACCGCTCCGTGGCCTCCATATATGGATAACAATATTATTAAGAAAGTAGCCAAAAACGGACTTTGTTTTTACAGAACGATTTGCGGTAGGGCATCCTATGTTGATTTTTGACAGTTTGAACTGCTCCATAACACTTTCTGAAAGTAAGCTCAATAGGATAACAAAGAGAGAAACCCGATGACCTGTTTCCCATTCGGAAGCGATTCTTTTAGGGAAGTCGAACCAAAACACACTAACAACTCCTCCAGGATCTCTCATTTCTATTGTTTGTACGTCCGCTAGTTTCCTGATGTAAACTTCACTAATGTCTTTTTTTGCCATTTTCTCTTTGCAGTAGGTAAGGTAGGTGTATTTTTGTCGTTGAGTATTGGGAACTTTCCCCTTTTCCAGATCAAGAATAAAGTTTACAATTTCTTTTTCTAAGATTCCAGTGGACCAAGCATCAGAAATGATATGTTGCAATCCTAACATTGCCAAGAAGCAATCCTGAGTTTCGTACATAATTGCTTCTACAAGAGGCCTCCCATGAAGCTGCATAGGACATTCCATCCTTTCTGCTATGCTCTTTCTAAGGTCTTCACTAAATTCGATGCACAGGGGTACATATGCTTCTGTCATGGAAACCACCATTTGTCTCGGGTCCCCATTTGCTTCGAGAAATATCGTTCTTAGCATCTCATGCTTTTGAATAGCGTGTAGAAGCGCACGGTGGACAATACGTGGTTGAATCGTTTTTGGAAATCTTTTGCAGAATGGTAATTTATGTGCCGTTGGGTCTTGAAAAGAGAGGAAGTACATTTGCAGTTGTTCTTTGCTAAGGGGACTATCGTATGACTTCTGTGGTTCAA